ATCAACAAAAAAGGAGAAAAAATCATAATGTCGTCTATGTATATAACAATAAGTTAGTCAATTACAAAGCTACAAATTACCAGTATTTCTACTGGTTGGAATTGAAATTAAATTTTGGTATAAAATTATAAATAACTTTTTAGCATAATATGTACTCTTTAGATATGCTATTATTTCTTTAATTGTTGAAGATTATATGTAATAATTATTTGGTTAAAAAAAAATTATTTGGTTAAATCTTACTTTGAGTTGAAGCGAAAAATGCATATTTTATCTTAAAAATTCAAAACACAAACACAAATCTAACAACTATTGACTTAAATTTTTTCTTGAGAATTTTTGAATGATATTTCTTTCTGGATAACTTTCTTCTTTACAGGCTGTGCTTCCTTCCGCCATTATTCCCGCTTTAAAATCGATCGTGAGAAATATCGATTACGTTTGAGAATCGCAGGAATTCCATATTTCGCCGTTGGCGCTGTATCTTTGATTAATTCAAACCCAATACGCGCGCATTTCGCACAAAATGTTAACTTGGGATAAAAAATAAAAAAACTCTAGTCTAAATCAAATATATGAAATTCATAAGAAATTCTTAAAAAAGAATGAAAATATTCATACGCTAGATGAAAAACTATTAATATTTTAAACTGTTATAATTTTATGAAAAAATTGTAAAATAATTAACTTGATTTTACTTTAAAAAGTGAAGTCTCCTGTTTAACAATCTTAACTTTGTTTCTTAACTTTGTTCGTTCAAAGATATTTATTTTTACATCATGCAACAAATTTAAAAGTAAGAATACTTTTCTCCTTGAAAATTGTAAAAATTCAAACATCTTGTTGAAGAGAAATTTCCCCATGACTGAACAATTTTTTTTCATAATCAGATCAATCATGATGTTGAAAACTGAAATCTCTTCTTTATAGTAAGCCCTTAAAACTAGCTGTACGATTTTCTGTTGTCGTTTTATTGAATTTTAAATAATAATTCATTAATTTTAATTATAACAACAAATGATGTATGCAAATCACTGAATTTGTCTTAACAAATAGCTATTTGAGAAAATGAATTTTATTTCGAAATTTTGAAAACGGACGATTTGCAAAAAATAATCCACACCACACAATATAACTTTGTACCAAACAATATTTCTTTGATACATCCAAGCTTTTATAAAATCGAATTTGCAGGATTCATTCAGACTCTAAAGCTACACATTAAAATAAGTAAAAAATGTTATATCTAATTGCATTGTTAAAAAATATATTTTAATCAATTCTTTCTAATATCTGCTGTTTTAAATCGTTATATTCTTTCATTGACACCACGTTCAATTCAATAAATAACTTTTGAAACAGATATGACAACACTCTGTCCATATTTTTTGGTTTTAGTTTTCATCACTAGTAGTGCTGCAGTGCAAAGCCTGTCTAAATCGGTATGACAGAATGTGATACGAAATGGTAAGGAGATCCTAGAATCCCTTTATCGTGGCATAAAAAAATATATCGTTTTTTTTTATTCATATACCTGGTCTGTGATGTTAGGTCTATTCATATATGTACTTCATCTATGCATTATGTGTCTTCCTTATCTTGTCTGTGATGTCATTCCCAACAATATCGATTCAGCAATTTTCCTATAAAATTTTATATATTTATACTTTAAAGCACAAATATAAAATACATTTAAAATCGAATACATTCTTGTTATATACTATAAATTTAGATACGTAAGTATCTGTAAGTATATATGTTATAATAAGTATATATGTTATGTTATGTTATGTATGAAGTGTATATGTTATAACATATAGACATCTGTAGTTCAGTCTAGAAATTCAAAAGAAATTTTGTAAAGTTTAGATTGAGTTGTAAATATTACGTAATTCTTTATGTTATGTTATGTGTGTAATGTATCTTGTCTTCCAAATAATCTTTGAAATACGATATCAATGTTTGAAGTACGATATCAATAACAAAGACGCATTACGAGAAAGATTTGTAGTTAAAATGTTTATTATATGATTTGTCAATAAATGGTTTGTAAATAAATTTCATTGAAAGACATTCAATTTTAATTAGATGAAAAATCAAAACCAATACTCATTAGTAATTATAAAATAACAATTTTTTAAATTCAATAAAATAGTAAGGTGTAAATAGAATGAATAGAAGTTGACTACCGAGAGAGCCAATTGATAATTCTTGTCGCATAATTACACTAATTTTGCAATTTGTCTGATATGAATTTAGAACAGCAAATAAGCTATTATAATTTTTCATAGTGTTTCTACGTGCGAAGAGCGGCTAGTGTACACGACAGTTCGTACACACAGAAATACACAATTACCGTCATTACAATCGGTGATTTCCTTGTATTAATTTTCACACTTTTTAAGTATCCATTTACTTGTTTAATGTAATATAAACACATTATCTTGTCTTTTAAGGTACACATGCACTGTCTAAATTTTGCACTCGAGTCAACCACAGATCCGATATTTGTTATCTTGCTCTACCTGAAAACATATAGCTATACTGACAGTAATTCGATCGTGATTGGTCCATTTGAAGTGTAAGGTTTCTCATATTTCAACGAATTCTGTGGTGTAGGGGTAAGGAGGAGACAGAAGGGGATAAGGAAAAAAGTACAGAAGGATCAGTTAGTTCTCGACAGTCTGCTTAGTTAGATTGTTTTCCCGTTGTACGTCAAATTTACGGGATTGAGATTTCTTTATTCTGCTTTACAATGAACGCAACAAAAAAGATACATGAAAATGATATAGGAGAGTGTCAGTTGACGATTAAGCTGTTGGAAATGTTGCAAAGAACGAAATACGAATTGGTACAAGAAAATGGGCAACGCCGTTTGACTGCTCCGGAAATTATTCGTGGTGAGAAACAACGCGTGAAGGGTGCTGAAGTTTTTCTCGGTCGTCTTCCGCGGGATTGTTACGAGGACGAATTGATGCCGATGCTGGAAATGATTGGTCGTTTGGTTGAATTGCGATTGATGCTCGACTTTTCTGGATCGACTCGAGGATATGCATTTGCCTTGTTCGAAAATTCAAAAGTAGCAAGGAACGCATGCGCAAAACTTGACGGTTATGAAATCAGACCCGGACATCGTATTGGCGTCGTAAAATCGGTAGATAATTGTCGATTGTTCTTCGGCGGTGTACCCAAGAACAAAAGCAAGGAAGAGTTTATGCAAGAGTTAAACAAGATACTCGAAGGCATTATTGATATCTACCTATATCCAAGTGCATATGATAAAACGTTGAATAGAGGTTTCATATTCGTTGAATTCAAAGATCACAGAGCAGCCGCGATGGCAAGACGAAAGTTAATACCTGGAAGAGTCATGTTGTGGGATCACGAAATCGCGGTTGACTGGGCTGATCCTGAACCTGGTGATCCTATCGACGAAGAAGTTATGGAGAACGTAAGCTGCTTTAGGCTATATGAAAATTATTTTGTTCTATTCCATACAGTCACATAGAATCCTATATTGTAAAAAAAGTTTTTCATACTAATGATAAAGTAATGGATATTTACAGTATTTTCTGTTGTTTATAGGTTACCGCTTTATTCGTACGAAATCTGTCATTGGACATGCCGCAACAGAAAATTCGGGACGTCTTTCAAAAACATACGAAAATACCTATTTTAAAATTAAAGAAAATTAATCATTTCGCGTTTATACATTATGAAAGTCGCCAGACAGCACAGATTGTAATGGACATTATGACAAGTACGTGTATTATTTTATGTAATTTTCTCTTTTGCCTTTAATCGTTATACACGCTTTATTAAAACAAGAACAATACAACAGGGCGCAATAGTGTCGCTGATATTGAAGGTTGGGAAATACGTTGGGCAAAACCAATCGGAGCCACAAAAGTCTTAGAAAGACAACGATGTATCAATGAAGCTGTAGCAAAGTCGAATCCATATAAACTTGAGCAAAGTCACATTAAATACACACCAACGAAAAAGTTCAACGCTAAAAACGTGGACATGAACGCCAACAATATATCCGATATAGCAACAATACATATGACTGGATTGCAGAATTTCATTAAAGAAAAGTTTAATGCTACTTGCTCCTTCAACTGTTTGCGCGCAGCAAATGAGTCTACATTTATGTGTAAAGTAAGTATATACGATTATATGTTCATTGATATATTTATTTTTATTCTCTCGGCATACTTTTTCTAATTTCTAATTATCACACTGTTTTTCTTTTCTCTCATTTTCTTAGATATCGATTGTTAAACAAGGCCATGTCCTCTTTGAGTATCACGGAGAATCAATGTCAACGAAGCAAAATGCTATTATTGGTGCATGCTCAAAGATGTATCAATTCATAGCTATTACGTTCCAGAATTTCGGTAAGTATATCAAATGAAAATATTTTTTTAAAAATGACAAACGAATCCGAGTAAGTTTCACGCTCGTCGAATTTATGCGGAGACGAACGAATGTAATTTAATACGTTCTTCACGAATGTCACTGATATCACGATCTCACGATTCGAATAATTCGGTGTCTACTTTTCTCGAGGTTTTAAATACATGAAGATTTATTTCTGTATTTCTTCGTTTCCTAACTAGACTTCAAAACATGTAACGTAGATATTGCTTTAATAATTTAATGAATTTTATTCGACAAATTTTTTTAAAGAAGTTAGTAAAATGAAGCTGGTAGTAAATGTAGCTATGATTTACGGATATTTCTTTGTATGTTTTCAAACAGTAGAACGGGAAAACGAGCACTATTCCATGGAACAAAAGCTAAGCATTAATCCCGTGGTTGGGTCACCAGTCAGCTGGAATAGAGGAATAGATTATAATTAAACAACCTTTTTTTTACTTTCTTTAAAATGATTTTTATAATTGAACATGCAAAAATCATTGATATTATTTATAACGTAGAGATCCGAAAGCATGATGACAGAAATATCAAGAAAATATTATAAATTAAATTTACTTCTGCGTTTTCTGACACAAAATTAAGATTTTAGCGGAAAATTTTTACAACCGAAATGAAAATTTTAACCGAATTTTCAAAATACATTGGTACGAAAAAGCGTGATTGGAATATATTTACAATTTTATTCAATTATGATGTAAAACACATTTTTAATGATTGAAATATCATGGTAGAACGTCGTGCTTCTTTTTGAACAATGAAATAGTGAAATAAAAATTTTAACTGTAATATCATCTATTACAAATGAAATCGAACAATAAGCATATTTTTTAAAAGTAGACTTTTAACAAAGGAAGATCGAGTTTAGAAAATCTGGCAATCGCAGGTTCTCTACGTTAAACATATATTTGAAATACATGTTAAGTTAATTTTAATACACGTATTAGTGAAACTACATACTATTCATTTAAAAAATGATCGAATATGTGAAACTAATTTGTGAAAATCATAGATTTTACTAATTTTACTAATTATTTACTAATTGGTTTGATTTCCAGATTTAATGCCACCATCATTTTTTAGTTTCAAAGTTGTACATAAGCAATGATAATAATCTTTTATGTTTAGTTGTTTTGTTATCAGTGTGCTAAACTGTAACTATATGAACATAAAAATAAACAGGCATATTTAATTGCCTGTTTATGATTCTTTTTCTCAAATATATAATATATTAGTTCAATTGAGGTTATTTCAATTTATTTTAAAAAGAACGGAGCACTTCAAACTTGCCATATGAATTACCTAAACTTTTCAAAAAATTGCGATTAAGGAACAAAAAAAACTAAAGAATAACCACTTAATTCCAAAGTTCCCGCAGAGAAACTTAGAGTACTTCGTTACAGGCTTTGAAAATTAAACGTTTCATTAACGTTTAATGGGATCGTTACATATTACATAAAAAAGGGAAGAAACTCTGAAGTATTTACCTTCAAAAATCTATATTAACAGCGATCATCAAGAAGCAGCATTATTCGATCTTTAGAACATAATTTATAGTCAGAAATTATACGATTATCTTCCATATAAAATCCTCGAAGCCACAATCTCATTCTTTCCGGTTTCCAATTTAGGTTCAGACTTTCGTCCAAAAGTTTAGATACCATTTGCTTTAAATATCCAACCGTTTCTAAATGTGAAATAGCAAGTTCTAAACGTGGTCCTTCTAATCTGTATATTGTTACAATCGGATGACATCTGCATGCTGATTAAATATTTCTTATATATAAAGAATGAACATATTATCATTCACAAATATATTTACATATCGCCACCATATTTAAGGGATGTTAGACTGCACAATTGTGATACATTTAACTGTGATTTTAGTTACGAAAAGTCTTAAAATACAAATAGATTAATTTACATGTATTCAAGTAATTTCATTGAGGTTAAAATATATGAAAAATCGTAATTTAGATAATCAAATAGTCAAACAGATTTTTGTTTTATACCTAACTTCCGATTGATATATGTAAT